CAACCAGGACTGGCGGCACACCGGAGCCTGTCCATCTCCGCTTGCCCAAGGGGAGCACCGAGGTCCAGCAGAGTCCAGCCGGTAGTGCCCAGCAGAGATGCAGGACGCCGAGGCTCCGTGCCTGCAGAGCTCAAGCCAGGGCGCATGAGGCTGTGCCCATTTCTCCAGCCCAGGTTTGACCCCCGTGTCCTCTGCATGTGCCACCACCCAGGTCACCGCAGCAGGACTTTAAAATGCCTGCCACTCTCGGGGGTTAATGGGCTGGCACGGTATTTATGTCTTGCACACTCAGCCCCAGCCATCTCAGCCCCCACCACACGCCAGCAATTCACCCGGCGTCCCACACGCGCAGCCTTGGGGTGGGCACGGGTCTTCCCGTGCCTCCACGGACCCCGTCGCTGTTCGCCAGCCCTGACCTCGCTGCCGTCAGCCGGGGATGTGGCCGCAGGCAGTGCCTGCTCCCCGATCCCCTGACCCTTCACAGCTCCTGGCACACATCAGAGCTGTGGGGATAGTCAACAACATCCCAGTTCGGGACACGGCAGCCCTGGGGGTGGAAGGCACCTCAACTTCCTCCCCGCAGCCCCTGGCCTCCCGCTCCATCCCTTTTGGGGAGGGGCGTTTGCATCGAGCCCAGGACTCACCCTTGAAGACAAAGTTATAATCCTCCTCGGCGCTGCCCATGTCGCCCCAGCTGCCGCCCGCCCTTGCTGGAGCCGCCGCCGCCGCTTGGTTTCCTCCTTCCCGCTGCAAAGCCTCGAGCAGACGGTGCAGGGTGGGCCGGGCTCCAAGAGGCGCCGAAGGAGGAGATGGAGGGGGCAAAGTTTCCTTTCTGTCGGGGAGCGAGCAGGGAGTGAGCAGGGAGCGAGCAGGGTCCAGGGGAGCGAGTAGGGTCCGGGCGAGCGACGGCAAGGCCGGCTGGGTTGGCGGTGCAGCGCGGCTGGTTGACTCAAGGGGTGGGACTGGGTGTCACAGCGCAGGTTGGGCAGGTAGTGTCACCCCTGGGACCGTCACGGGGCGGCCGGAGGAGGAGCCGGGGCCTGATCCTGGCTGCTGAGGCCGGTGCAGGCTGCAGCGCGGGGCAGGCTGGGGCAGCAGGCAGGGGCAGCGCGGGCAGCAGGGCCAGAAGCAGAGCTCCCAGCTCAGCCCGGCTCCAACCGG